CTTTTCGTCTTTAGAGTCTGGCTGGTTTTGGTGGGAGCTCCACGCTCATCTCAGTTCATTAAAAACACATTTTAAGGACACTGAAATCTAATGAAACACAATCCGGCGCCTATAAAAGAGTCACTTTGAGTTAATTGTTTATCCTGGATGCGCCGGCGCTCGCAGCTTTGTCCAAACAGCAATAAAGCAGCTCATTATTTTTATGTAAACAGCCTTTTTGAGGACTTTGCATCGAGCAGTACGGCTCTCCTGCACTCCTCTGGCTGCAGATACCACATCAATTATTTAACAGCAGCCTGTAAACATCCAGGACCTGAGGAGACCAGCAGCTGGACTTGTTATAAACCTGTTCATACTTTTTTTGCACTTCTCAGATGTGTAAGCCACCCAAGACAGAGGCACTAATGCACCCACATACCATCAGAGAAGCACTRAAAGCAGGTCAGATGGTGCTTTCCCTCCAGTTTGCCTCAGTCCATCTTAAAGGAGCTTCAGCCCAAAGAGGACGGTGGGGTTTCTGGATGGTGTTCACATATGGCTTCTTCTTTGCACGATAGAGCTTTAACCAGTATTTGTGGATGGCGGGGACCAGATTTCTCCGATACGCTGGCGCCACAACCAAAAACAAGCTATATCCTGCAGTTGGAGACTCTTTGTTTTCCATCCAGGGAGGTTTTTCCTCAATCTAAAAGCATAAACGCATACAGATTAATCTCCCTCCTGAGGGTCATTAAAGGACCCAGACCACTCTCAGGGACAAGAGAAACGTGGAGGACTCGTCACGCTTTGTCATCCATAATCTATGGTCCAATCCTCACCTGTGGTTTTGAGGTGTGATTCATGCAACTTCATATTTTGTGTATAAATCTGACTGCTTGGTGTTCATCGTATGACCCGTCTGTTAGCTGAAACGCAACAATACGACTCATCAAAATGTCGTTTTTTCTTCCTGCGTTTGGTGACAAAGCTGCAGGTTTGATGTGTCCTTGGAGATGTGTTGAAAAAAAAGCTGAACATTAAAGGTTAGTCCTTGACGTAAAGTATGAAGTAAGCTTTTTCAGCTCGGTGTCCTGATAAAAGAGGAGGCGAGAGAGAGACGCCGAATGTGTGGAAGGAATAATTAGAGGGGAGACGGGAGGTTGAGGCCGGAGATTACCGGGGCTCGGTCTTTGATTGCGGCCCCGCTCGGTTCTGTAAGTGAAGCCCGCTTCCAGCTGCTTGCTTCCACAGGACACCGTGATTGGATGTGATGGGACAGGAGCTATTCCTGTCCCTCTTTGTTGTCTTGATTGGACATTGTTCAATTTGTCCTTATAGGCTGACATTACTTTTAACATGTGGGTCAGTAATCGCAAAACTAGTTTCACTGGAAAGACGACGACTTATTTATCTTTTTGATGACTTTCTGTCCTGTCTGTTTCACAAAGTTTCCTTAAAGTTCAGATCAAAGTGGGGTTTGGTAGTAAGGTTATGAGCAACTAATATCTTACCTGTAGCAGATAACTTCTAGAAATATTTCTTAATATGACATTAAAGTCAGAATATTTTTTTAGTGGATTAAAAGTCCATAATGTAAAACTTTTACCTTCTAGCTAACTTTTTAAGAATTTTAGCTAACCTTTTGTAACTTTTATATCCATTGTTTTCACTTTCAGGTTTTTAGCTAGCATTTCAACATGTTTAGTGTTTAGCTAATCTTTTTTCATTTTAAGCTCCTGGCTGACACTTTGTTCCTTATATCATTTTGCCTCTTTTTTTTTTTACTTTTAGTTTATGACTACCTATTTTTTTGCTACTTTTCACGTTTTAATATTTTTACGTAGCAATTTATAATGTATATCTAGTGTTTTAGCTTTTAGGTAGAATTTTGTATAGTTTAGCTTTTATCTATCCCTTTGTTATTTTCAACTTAAGCTAGACTTTTGTTATTTATAGATTTTAGCCACTTTTTTTGTTTTCAGATTTTACCTTCTAGCTCACTTTTATTTATTAGTTTCATTTTTAGGTTCCTAGCTAGCAAATACTATTTTAGCTTCCTGCTAGCCCTTAGATACTTTTACTTTTTAACAACCTTTTGGCTAATTTGACCTTTCACTTAGCATTTTAATATTTTAACCAAGCTCTTTGTAACTTTTATCTACTGTTGTGTTTTGCTGTGTTTAGTTTTTTAGATATTCTTTTGTAATTTTTAGTTTCCAGCTAGCCTTTTGTCACTTTTGTCAGGTTTTAGCCACTTTTTTTGCTCATTTTACCTTCTAGCTAGCTTTTTAATACTTTTAGCTAGCTTTTTGTCACTTTTCTCTAGTGTTTTGCTTTTCAGGTAGTATTTTGTTATTTTTAGTTTTTATCTATTGTTTTACTGTTTTCAGCTTATAGTTAGACTTTTAATACTTTTACCTGATTTATTTTTATTTTTATCTAGTGTTTTACTATGTACAGTATATAGCTTTTAGCTAACCTCTTGTTATATCTAACATCTAGTTAGCATTTTATTACGTAAAGCTTGTAGTCAGCCTTTTGCTACTTCTTTTAGATTTAGCAACTTAGTTTCAGCTTTTTTAGCATTCCCTCTGTGTTTTTTGCAGAAAATGTTCTCTCTAGCTGTTTTAGGTTTTAAATTTTTACCGAGGCAGGGGGTAACGACTTTTCCCACCTGGTGTTAAGAACTTTTGTTGCAATGACGCAACTCTTTGACACAACTTGGCAAACAAAAAAGGTACAAGTATGTTCCACAAGTGGCGTTTAAACTATGCTAAGTTGGTTGTTTTAATGCTTTGCTCACTAAAGTACACTCAGTTTAATGTTTAAAGTTTTAAAAAACGTCATCTAAAGCAGCTACTGTAAGGTTTGAAGAGCTTAATTGTTGGTAATTAATGTATTGATGACACAAATGACACAGATGTCACTGGAAGGCTTTTATTGTGAAAATCCTACACGTGCTGAACTATGAGCTGTAATCACTGCGCTTGTGTCTGACTGGTCGTCTGCTGGTTTGTTTTTCATCGCTCTTCTTTTTTCCCCAGCGTCACGTCTGATAAAATTACAGCTTGGTGGCGTTCGTCTGAGGAAGTGAAGACGTGTGTTTTGTGCGTGTGAAAAGAACATGTGGGCTGAGATGCTCAGGATGCAGTTTGAACCCTTTTGGCTGTAAATTAAAAATAAGGGGAGCAAATAAAGAAAAGTTCCTTTTCGTGCAACCATCTGGTTTAAATTGTCTTGATTGTTGGTCCATAAATCTGATTCCCTGTCAGCTAATCCGATAAGAGTCCTCTGGTCTGGTCTTTGGGGATGAACCAATTAAACTTTACTAAGTTAGCACCATGGAAATGACTGAGCCTATAAACACATTACATTCCCTTTAACGTCAAAAGAGTTTCAGGACGAACACTGCTTTTAGCAGCACAGAGTAACTTAAGATTTGTTGCTAAATCTGTTTTTAGTGATTGAAATGGGATAGAATTAAATATCTACTCAACTGACAGGGCTGATTAAACACAAGAAAGTAAGCATCAATATTATGTAAATACAGCTTCTTTCTTTAGTTTTTGTAGTTTTTTTATTTTTCAAAGGTTTATTAAACTGATTATTAGCATCATTCTAGACATAAATGTTTGTTTTGTCAGGATTGTATTGATCAGAATGGATTAAGAGAGAGTTTTTCTTTAGGTTAAGGCAGGGGTCTCCAACCTTTACCATCAAAAGAGCCATTTCTGCTACTTGACGCACCAATAACATGTGTCCAGAGGAGCAAAACAAGCTACAACTGTAGTTATCAACTGGTGGTCCGTGGGACCTTTTGAGGCCTTTTCGGGAACTTTTATGGCCAGTGGAGGTGACATTATAACACTAAAAAATATATTGAGTTTTATTGTTTTTTTTTCACATCAGGCCAAATGAAAGAACACAATCATGTAAACAAGAAAAAAACTGTATATAGTTTATACTCAATTTCATAAAAATTAGTACAACTCAACGCATATTTTTTTTCTAATTTGTATTGCATAGTCTTCAAATACTTTAATTCTGATGGATTTGAGAAAAAGATCAAAGAAAGAAGCTGGATTATTTAAGTACACAACAGGCTAGCATGAACTAATCAACATGTTTTACTTTTTGTAGTAGTAGTATTGATCACAAATTTGCATACAAATTGATTTCTGTTGTGGGTRTAAAAAACAAAAAAAAATTCTGTTATGTTTGGTCACATTTTCATTTAATCCAGTTATTGAAACGATTCAAACTGGATGACCACCCTTACGTTCTGTGTTAGAGTTGGTATGAAGCCTGTGCAGGACTGGGAGGTTTACAAATCCAAGACAAAAACATGTAGGAACCAGGCATGACTCGCTACATGACATAAAGCTAACAGACKAAAATCATGTGAAATGAATGGATATAATATACACTGTTGTGTGTCAGCTGAAGCCTGTTTTTTATATATCTAAAAGTCTGATTATCAAACAGTTAAAGTACATGTTTACTTGTCCAGGATCCTCCCACTCGCAGCTGCTCCCAAATAATCAGCCTGCATGTGTCATTTCATATGTGTCGACTCATGCATCTCTTTTTATGTAATTGTATTTGGATGTGTTTGTGATTCGTGCCTCTGAGCCTGACCAGCTGCTTTCTCCTCTTATTAAAAAAAAGTTGATAATTATATTTTAAAAAGGGGGGATCCCTCTTTTACACAAAAGGATTTGCAAGTAGAGAATTTGCGATTTAATACACATTTTAAAACCAGCTTGAATATTATTTTTTCATAATGTTTGTTGAATGTTTTCAGTGAGGTGCAACATAAAGGTTGAGTCACTTTTTCTTTGTATCCTGAAGGACGTTTTGTTGCCAAAGGCCCAGTTTTTTCAGCTCAGGTTTGTTTAGCAGCCGGAGTCGTGTTTTTCTCTAATCTGGGCTGACTAAATGAACCTCTGTTAAAGCTTTCGCCGGCAGAGCCGTGCTGAGTTTGTAATTAATTTCTGCTGTGCCTTTGCTCCTGTCTCCAGATGGGCCCGTGATCTGGCAGATGCTGACCTACCCCCCAACTCGGCGAGCCCTCCTGGTGGGCTGTGGGCTTCAGATGTTCCAGCAGCTTTCTGGAATCAACACGGTCATGTAAGTGTTGAAACGTGACATCGACCTGGGATACAATCTTCACGACAACAGTTCCACTGAATATAACGAACTCAAACATTCCTGAAAAAATGTTGAAATTCCTGCCACTTTTAGCTCATAACACTCATAAGTGTTAGAGGTCACTATTATCTAATTCCACATCAAAATTTAACTATTTAAAAAAGAAGAAGCTTAGCTAAAAGCTAAGAATATTAAAAGGTAGGCAAAAGGAGCAAAAAACAAGCTTGAAGCAAGAGTAACAGAATATTGATTAAAAAAAATGTTGCAAAATGCTAGCTAAAGTCTGGAAATGGCTAGCTTTAATAGTTAAAGGCCAGCTAAAGGTAACAATGTGCTAGCTAAAAGCTAAACATAGCAAAATGCTAGATGAAAATTAACTAAAAGTAGCAAAAAAAGATGCCTAAAGTAGCAAACTTTTTGTGAAAAGTTGCTAATGATAGTTAAAATCTGCAAAATGTTAGTTAAAAGTGAAAAGTAATAAATAGCTAGGTAAGAGTTACAAAAGGCTAACAAAAATAAACATTTGAATAGTTTAACTAAAAGCTAAACGCAGCAAAACACTAGTTAAAAGCAAAGATGTTTAAATGCTAGCAAAAAGTTGCAAAATGCTAGCTAAAGTCAGGAGATGGCTAGCTTTATTAGCTAAAGGCCAGCTAAAGGTAACAATGTACTAGCTGGAAGCTAAACATAGCAAAATGCTAGGTAAAGTTAACTAAAAGTGGCAAAAATAGATGTAGTAGCAAACTTTCTGTGAAAAGTTGCTGATAGTTAAAACACGAAAAATGTTAATTAAAAGTGAAAAGTATTAAATAGCTAGGCAAGAGTTACAAAAGGCTAACAAAAATAAACATTTGAATAGTTTAGCTAAAAGCTAAACGTAGCAAAACACTAGTTAAAAGCAAAKATGTTTAAATGCTAGCAAAAATTTGCTAAATGCTTTCTGAAGTACGAAAAGGGTTAGATAAAAGTAGCTAAATGCTAGGTAAAAGTTTAAGCTAAAATGGTCACTTTTGCCACATGATACCTAAATGCAGCAAAACATTAGCAATAAGCTAAAAGGTATGAAATGATAGATGCTACAGATAGCGAAATGCTACAGAAATGTTGCTGTTGCTAGCTAAAAGCAGAGAAACGTTAGCTCATGTTGAAAAGTAATAAAAGTCTTCGTAAAAGTAGCAAAAAAAGGTTAGCTAAATGCTAAATGTAGCAAAAAACAAGCTAAAAGTCAAAATTACTTGAAGGCTATTTAAAAGCTAAAAGTAGCAAAAAGCTAGCTAAAA